GAGAAAGAAAGAAAAAATCTCTGTTTCTTTTACTACACAATGAATAAGTGATAAATATTATATATAAATTATGAATCAAACCAATCACATTATTTCAACACACTATAATAATTTAAACTATTGTTAAATTTATCAATTAAATTGTTATTTCTATTATTTGTTTTTAAAAAACCAATAGACATTTTATGAATATTTATTACGTAAAATTATTAATAATTGGTAAATGATATATTGATAATTGTTTAGAAAAAAATTATAGAAATAACAATTTGGTTAATTAGTGAATTTAGCCATAGCCAATAATTAATTATAACAGTGAAATTTATATTGTCTTTATCCATTTTTAACTGGTAATAATATGTTGGTTTTTGACCGCTTTCCTTTGATTTTTTATTTTATTTAACCTTTTCCGCTTTTTGGACTAAGCCTCCGGTAGATACGAACATTCAGTTCTATATGCCCCCAAATCCTCTGAGCGAACAAGATTAGTGGTGAATATAACAACAATTCATCTTATTATAATGCAACTAGAATTTTGTTGGGCAATATTTTCATGAGAGAATGGGTATTTAAATTCTATATTTTTTGAATTTTTTAATTGAGATCCCTTAATTTATTTTAGTTTGATTGAAATTTTTTATTATTTATTTATTTATTTATTTATTTTTTTGCTTCAAATTTTTTATTATAACACTATCAAACAATATCACATATTAATGCTGATTGATAGCGTGGTAACAGAAAGTATGAAGAAAAAAGCATTGAAGAATAGATAGTTTTAATTAAGTTAAAATATATATATATATATACAGTCTCTCAATCAAATTTTTTTTTAAAAAAATACAAAGTTTAAATATAAAATAAATCCGTCAAATAATATTAAGCCTAGGTTCCATATACCTCCACCAGAATAACTGCCTGTCAGTTTGACTCTCAGCTTGACTCTGTATTTCCTTTTAAGGAGATAAGACCGTATTTGAAATTTTCTATAGTTTGCTATTACAAATTAAAGCTGGCAATAAAAGAAACAGGCCTTCATGCCTCCACTACGTACCACCTTCTGCCAGTAGGTACTATCCACGGCAATTCTAGGTCGATGTCTAGAAGGATTTGAACCTTTAAATCATTCCAAGCAACGGCTTACTGCAACATTCACTACAAATAAAAGACCCGAGAAAAATAAATTAAGTCAACGGAATCATTTCTCCTCGCCACTAATTCGATTTTTTACCTGCCCACAAAAAAAATATTTTATTTTTTATTTATTAAAAAATCATCATATAAATTTTTACTCAACTCATATCTGATTCACATTACCCACTCATTTAGTACATACATATTTAATATCAGCTTAAAAATAATTTATCAAAAATATTTATTTTAATCTATATAATTTTTTTTAAAAAAATTTTTATCCTTAATTTTTTTTTATACGTTTTGGTAATTTATTTATAAATTTTTTTGTCCTCAAAGTTTTTGAAAAAAATATTTTAGTTCTTAATTTTGAAGTTTATACAACTAGATCCCTACAAGTTAAAAAAATTCACAAAATATTAGTGAGTATTAATAGGGTAAATAATACATACCCATATCTTAAAATTATATTAGTGGATATATATATATTTTTTATCTTTACTCACTTGAATACTTATAAGATATTTTTAATGAATATTTATTGGATTAGGTAAAATAGATACTCGTTTTATATTCGACCAATTGTCATCTCTATACTTGATTATTGACTAAGTTGCTATTTTTTTGGAAATTAGAAAGAAATATATATACGTGTGTGTGTGCACACGCACGCGTGCATGGCATATGTCACTTAATGGGATAAATAAATAGAAGCTTAACGAAAACGAGTTAAATCAAAAGATTTAATTTTAATCCATTCTTAAAACTTAATATATTAGGAAAACTTAATTTAATCCTAAACCTATATATCCATTCTTAATTGAAACAAAAAGTTATAAATTTTATCAATTAAATCCCAAATGTTTCGTATGTTTCTCAATTATCCTTTTACTAATTAGGTTTATCTCACATTTGATCTTTGTACAGTTCGAAATTTTTTTGATTGAAATCCTTTATGATTTTTCAGCTTGATTGAAACCCTCTATTCTTATAAATTTATTGATTTAGATCCTCCATTATAAATCTATTAAATATTCATCCGATGTGATATGTTAAAATTAACAATAACAAATTATAAATTGACATGTGTTGTAGTGGATCCTAACTCTAATAATATATGTCCAAAATTAAAAAAAAAAAGGTTAATTTTTTTAATTATTAAAAAAACATTTATATTTTTAAACTAAATAGGAAAATACCACATTGCCCCATCCTATTATCGGTAACCTAAATCGAAAAAAAGAAGAAGAAGGAGAAGCATTGTCATCTTTTCTTTCCTTGTTCTCTTCGTCTTCTTCTTTCTCATTCGAAACAATTCCATAAAGCTTGATGTTGTTTGTCGCGGGGTGACGTCGGGCGATGAGGTAAAATATATGACAAATGATTAGAGTCGCAACCTAGTATTACGGTTACTAGGAAACCTCATGACTAGTCTATTCGAGTTTCGGGTGAGGGGTTTATTATGTGTAGGGAAGACCAAAAGTCACCTTACTCCGTCTTGCCTAAGGCAAGTCTGCATTACATATAACCTTAATTTGACTTCGATGAAAGTGCCTCCTTTGTTGAGTGATTCGGGACTTGGTTAGTCGAAGACCTTGTCCTCACTCCGTAATAAATGACTAAAAATGATGAACACGGAGATATGCTATTAGTGCGGCTCAAACGACAGGCATGAAAAACAAAACTTAAAATGGGCAAATAGGTAAACAAACAAGACATGCAAAATGACAGAATAGGCAATACAAATAGAAATAGGCAAATTGGTAAATAGGTAAAAATCGATAAACACACAAATTGATAAAATCGGTAAATAGACAAATAGAAAATTAGACAAAAATCAACAAATAGGAAAAATAGGCAATCATAGGTAGAAATAGGCATGCTTAGGCAATAATAGGCAAAAATAGGCTAAAATCGGCTACATAGGCAAAAATAGGCAAAAATCGACAATTGAAGCAAACTTAGGTAAAATAGACAATCATATGTAGAAATAGGCAAACTTAGGCAATCATAGATAAAAATAGGCTAAAATCGACTACATAGGCAAAAATGGGAAAATATCGATAACTTAGGCAAAAACAAGCGAAAATCGACAACTTAGGCAAAAAGAGGCAAAAATCGACAACTTTGGAAAAAACAAGCAAAAATCGACAACTTAGAAAAAAATAGGTGAAAATCCACAACTATGGCAAAAATAGGCTAAAGTCGGCAATGAAATCAAAAATCGACGCTTTTAGGCAAAAATAGGCTAAAATCGACAACGAAAAACAAAAGCCACTGCTTTGGCTAAAATCGACAACGCAAAACAAAAGCCACAGACTTTGGCTAAAATCGATAACAAAAAACGAAAGCCACAACTTTAGCTAAAATCGACAATGCAAAACAAAAGCCACTGCTTTGGCCAAAATCAACAACAAAAAATGAAGCTATAGCTTTGGCCAAAATCGATAACGAAAAATGAAAAGTGATGGCTTTGGCTAAAATATGCTAAAATTGGCAAATAAAACGAGTACATATAGGCAAAAATTAATGAGAATTGACAATAAGACCGAATCGAAGAAGATGCACAAATCGATGAAATTAATTATTTTAGCATGCTTAACAAAAACGGAGTTACATGACAACATTTCAAGCTTGTTTGGTTAGACATGCATTTTTTTTATAAAATCACCATACAAGACACTCCCTTAAAATGTACATTCCGAAAAACAAATATTCAAACACTCAAACCGACGCATCATACCGCAAAATTAGCAATGCACATTATAGCAATTCTAACAAATTATACATAAATAAATAGATCAAATTAATTACATCACATTCACTCAATTAATTACATAGCACATATCAACATAAAGCAAATTTAATACATGTTAAAAATAAAAATAAAATAAAGCAAAAAGTGGAAAAAAAATTACCGTAAAAAAGAAAAAGAGACGAGCTGATTTACTTGATGATCTCGAGGTCGGATCCGACCTTTTCGACCCCGATGGAGACTAATTCTTAGTCAACCGGGAGAAAAGGTGGTTCTTCGGCGAGCGTGGGAAGGCTCGCTGCCGGTAGTAGCTACTGCCGGCGTTGGCACGATGCTAGCGCCGACACGTTGTCGGCACGCTCGCCGACGTTGATGCCGGCGTGGCCGGCACTATGCATCCGGTGTGGGGGGCTGCCGGCGTGTGATGGTGCATCATGGCTATATGAGTGCTGGTGGGAGAGGCCGATGGGGCTAGTGGCGTGGAAGGAGAGCTACCGTGGAACAGGTCCGGCACAGAGGAGATGACCGAGTACTCGTGGCGTGAGGGGGTACGGCGAGGGCGGGGGCTGCTGCTAGTGGCATGAGGGTGCTACTCGTGGTTGCAAGAGGTCGGCGGCTAGGGTTTTTCTTAGGAGAGTGAACGATAGTCTGCACTTTGTGGGAGAAAAAGGGGGCTTTTATACTAGTTTTTTAGGGTTTTCTTGGCAAAAATCTATTTTGATCCCTCATTTTAAAAACCAACTTTATTTTGCTTCCTTTCTTTTTTCTTCTTCAATTACAACCTAATTGCATTTTTTTACTTCCTTTTTCTCATTTTTCTTTTTCTTTTTCTTTTTTTTAGACCCAAAATTGGGTGCTAACATTGTTCATCTTCTTGCGAGTATCAAACAATCAAATGAAGCTCTCCTCGGCATAAGGAGGATAACCTTAAATTCAATTTGACCCTCGACATAGAAGTGCTTGACAACCAAATGATCCTCCCAATCATTGGTTGAGCACTTATAGAAAGAGGCATACTCCTTTTTGGTGATCTCCTCTAGCTTACGCGACGGAAAGGTTTCGGTTTGTTAATGAGCCGCCACTTATTTGAAACCTACTTAATCATCTTCTTCTAGGATTTGGTCTCCATCTCTTTGTCAACTTCCTCAACATTACCCTCTTTTTCCTTTTTTGGTTCATCATCCTCATCATCACTAATCTCCTTCTCAATCATTTTCTCAATCCATATATAGATAGGATAGCCAATAAATTGAAGGGTGCTTCTTCACAAGATCCTTAATCCTCCTCTCTTCCAAGTACAAAAAACATTAACATAAAAAATCAAGTCGAAGCCCACATCAAATCTAACATAAACAAGCCAGCAACAACAATATCCATAAAAAAATTGTTAATTTAATTTGGATGGTTTATTTACTCGATCCTCATTGAGGAAAAAGGTAATCTTAGTACCATCAAGTTGCTCTCCATCAACATCTCTTGTAATAGTGAAAGAACCACCGGGTAGTGACTCCCAAACATATTATCATTATGTTTAGTAGTCATAACAACCCTCTCTACGACAAGGTAAGCATAATAGAACCCAACACCAAATTGTCCAATCATACTCACATCGACCCTAGCTGGCAATGACTTCACAAACTCTTTCATCTCCGATCTTGCAATTGTTCCAAAATTATTCACCAAATCTACATTTAAAACAAAATTCACAAGGATAAGTACCATTTAAGTCCCATAACCCCAAATCTAAATCAAGAAACAAACTTTGCACCGACCCAAGTAACATGTTCTAAGAAAAGAATCTTGGGTTTGATAGGTATACTCATAATCAAAATCAAGAAATAAAACAAATTTGCATTGACCCACGTAGCAATTTTTGAAAACAATCTTGGGTTTGAGAGAAATTGATCAAAATTAGAATAAAAAAACAAAAAATTTGTTCAATATAAAATAAATAAACGAGATCTCGTTAGTTTTTTCTTCTCCCATTCATTTTTAAATACTAAATATTAGGTTAATAATAAAAATATGTTTAATTTTAGTTTTTTTTTTGGTGGAGCGTATACTAAATAATTAGGATCCATAATGTCATGTGTCCATGTTTAATTGGTTACCAAATATCAAGTTAATAATAAAAATATATTTAATTTTTTTTTTGGAATGTATACTTGAACAATTGGGATCTATAATGTCATGCATTCATGTTTGATTAGTTACTTGTTAATTTTAACATGCCACTTAAGATGTACAATTAATGAAAAGTCCGAATTAATAAATTTATAAGAGTAGAAGCATTAAATTATGTTGAAAAATTATAAGGAATATTAATTAAAAAAAAAATTCAAAGTACAAAAGAATCAAATTTGGAGTAAACCCTTCTATAATTTATGTAAAATCAAGAAATATCATGCAATGACCACTAAGGCACGGGACGACTAAGGAGCTTATAGCGAACATAGAAGCATCGAGTTTTTAGGCATATGTATCCGATTTTCATTTGAAATAGGAAAAGGCATAAGGAAATGAACAAGGAAAAACATTTCGATTATCACATTCGGGGCACATAGTTTACTCACATATCATATATTCTAAAACTTTTACCTTTTTAATCTAATTTCGAAACGAGTTTCATGTAAGACTTCATGCTTAATGATCAAAACATAAATCATATCATGCAATGATCAAGACATAAATCATTCATGCCTATTCAAGATCTTGAATATAATAATAATCACATAGATGAAGCGAATAAATTACTTACCTTGAGCGGAATTCAACATGATGTAGCGAGAGCTTTCAACAATCACGAATCTTATAAATTAGTTTCTCTCCCTTAACCCTCTTTGTTTTAGTAGGTGGCTTGATGGATCGTCAAAATACGTACGTTACGTATTTTGTGTTTTTGTCCGCATACCTCTTTAGGGTAGGGAGAAGACTAGTTTATATACCTATTAACATTAAATCTTGTAAGTCTATCAAGTACTAAATTAATGATTCAGATTTAACACTATTAAATTAAGAAAACCCTAAACCAAACTTAATATGAGCTTACAAAAATATAGGCCATAACATCGAGCCATATTTCTTACATTCTCCCACTTGGTCGGATGTTTTATCATTACATTTAATAGTATAACATAAGGCTAGCAAAATTAAATCTTATAAATCGTTAACATCATAAGTACCTTAACATAACAAATCACATAATGTGGGTTATGACGGTCATACACGGTATAGTCGTATACTCCCTTCCATATACCACTACATTAAGAACTTATTATGTTAGGTTCATAAGTTGCATATAAATAACATACAGTCCATATACTTGTTGTGAAAATACATACAAATTTCTTATTCAAACAATCATGTATACATAAACATAATGAATAAGAAATATAAAATTTAGAAACATATTATTATTGAGCTCAAGAGTGTTAAAACATTATCATCAAACATCATTATCAATCATCGATACAACCAAAACCCATTCTAAGCACATGTTCTTTGAAAGTCTTTGGTTGTAAACCTTTAGTTAGAGGATCCGCAATCATGAGATCCGTCCTAATATGTTCTATATACACTATTTGTTTCTGAATCTCCTTTTTAACAACAAAACACTTTAATTCAATGTGTTTTACACCACTAGAGTATTTTTCATTTTTAAAGAAGAAAACTGCTACGTAATTATCACAATAAATTCTCGGCGGTTTGCTTATTGTGTCGACAACCCCAAGCCCCGAAATAAAGTTTTACAACCATAATGTATGAATTGTAGCCTTATAATAAGCTATAAATTCTGCTTCTATAGTGGATGAAGCGATGATAGACTGTTTGAAAATTTTCTATGAGATTGCTCGTTCTGCTAATAGGAATAAATAGCCAAATGTTGACTTTCTACCATCAACACACCCAAGAAAATCGAATGCGAATATCCAATCACTTCTAAGTGATCGGACCTCTTGTAACTAAGTATATAATCCTTTGTTCTTTGAAGGTATCTCAACACTTTCTTTGTAGCTTTTCAATTATCAATACCGGGATTACTTTGATATCTACCCAACATCCCTACCACAAAGCCGATGTCGGGTCTAGTACGAGTTTGTAGGTACATCAAACCGTCCACAATAGAAGTATATGGAATTGTTTCCATTTTCTTACATTCCACATCATTCTTTGGACATTGCATAAGACTAAATTTATCTCTCTTTTGAATATGGACTACATCTGCTGAGCACTTGCTCATGTTAAATTTCTCAAGAATTTTCTCAAAATAGGCTTTTTGAGACAATCCTAATAAACCTTCGATCTCTTACGGAATATTAAAATTCCATTCACATAGGATACCTCTCTCATATCTTTCATTTCAAAACTCTTAAAAAGAAATTCTTTAGTCTTATGTAACAAACCCAAGTCATTAGCAAGCAAGCAAAATCTCATCAACATACGGAACTAGAAATATAAACTTACTCCCACTAATCTTTCGATAAATACATCGATCAACAATGATTTTCTCAAAATCGAAAGAGGTAATGGTATTATTGAACTTAATATACCATTGCCTAGAAGCTTGTTTAAGTCCATATATTGACTTCTTCAATTTACACACCATACTTTCTTTACCTTCAATGGAAAAACCTTCAGGTTGATCCATATAAACTTCCTCCTCAAGATCCATATTCGGAAAGGCCGTTTTCACATCCATCCGATGTAGCTCTAAATCAAATTAAGCCACTAATTCTAAAATTATTCTCAATGAATCTTTCTTTGAGATAGGTGAAAAAGGTCTCCTTATAATCAATGCCATCTTTCTAAGTGTAACATTTGGCAACAAGTCTAGCTTTATATCTTTCAACATTACCATTCGAGTCGTGTTTGGTCTTAAAAACCCATTTGTAGCCAACTCGTTTAGAACCTTCTAGCAAGTTTACAAGATCCCAAACATTTTTTTGAGCCATTGATTTTAACTCTTTTTTCATAGCATCAATTCATCTTTCGGACTTATCACTACCTATAGCTTGTGAAAATGAAATAAGATCATTATCAATGCCACAATCAAAATCTCACTCTTGCAAATAAACCACATAATCATCGAAATAGCCGACCTTTTAACCCTTATAGGTCTATTTAAAGCTATATTAATTGGTTCATTTGTATGAGCTAATGGTAAGTTAGGTTCTTCATGGGGTGCTTCTTCATTATCCAAATGTTGTTCTTGATTATTTTGATCTTCCAAAACAGGAACAATATTTGTTGTGGTTATGTATTTAAGAACATTTATGGGTAATGGAATATTAACCCTTATTTTATTAATATCCACAACCTTGTTTTTCAACACTCCCACTAACCTCACCATTCTCTAAAAATTTGGCATTGGTCGTTTCAATAATTCTAGAACTGTGGTTCGGATAGTAAAACCTATACCCTTTGAATTTATTTGGGTAACCAATAAAGTAACCACTAACTGTTCGAGAATCCAGTTTTCTTTCATGTGGATTATAAATTTATGCATCCGATGGACAACCCCAAGCATGCAGGTGTCTTAAACTAGGTTTCCTTTCGATCCATAACTCGAAATGAGTTTTAGGAACTACCTTGCTAGGAACCTTATTTAACGGATACATAACGGTTCAAGTGCATACGTCCACAAACTTTTGGGTAATGAGGAATTACTCATCATACTCCTAACCATATCCATTAATGTTCTATTTTTCCTTTACGCCACACCATTCGTTGCGGTGTGCCCGGCATAGTATACTGTGCACATATGCCATGACTTTCGAGAAACTTAGCAAATGGATCGGGATACTGTCCGGATTCATCATATTTTCCATAATACTCACCACCTCTATCGGATCTTATAATTTTCACTTTTCTATCTAATTGCCTCTCAACCTCTTTTTCAAACACCTCGAGGGCATTTATAGCTTGAGATTTTTCATGCGAGCAAATAGATATATCCATATCGTGAAAAGTTATCTATAAAGGTGATGGAGTATTTTTCTCCATTAAAGGATGAAGTGTCAAAAGGTCCATAAATATCGATGTGTATTATTTCCGAAGCCGACTACTTCTTGTGGCTCATTTCTTGCTATGTTTGGTTTGCTTGCTCTTAATGCATTCCACACATAAGCCAAGATCGAGTAAAATCTAGATTTGGTAGAATCTAATTCTTTACCAATCTTTTTAACCTTTGTTTAGATATATGACCCAAACGTTTATACCACAAGTAAGCGGAATGGTCATTCGTCAAACTCGTTTCATTCCAACATTATGATTAACAATAAATAAGGATTCAGAAAAACCAACATCAAGTTTCAATTTATATAAACCATCCATAAGCATTGCATAACCAATAAAGCAATTATTCTTATACAAATTGAAACAACCTTGTCCAACCTCAAAAGTATAACCACTAGCATCAAGTCTAGAAATAGAAACTAAATTTCTAGAAATTGAAGGTACATAGAGAGTGTTCATTAGATCCAAGTGATGTCCGAGTATCTAATGTCGACTGTAAGTCCCCACACCTTCAATTGGGGCCTTCATTCGGTTCCCCATAAATAGAAAGTTACTAGTTGGGCTTATAGTTTGGATTGTAAGAAATCTTTGTATAATATTGGAAACATGAGTAGTGGCACCAAAATCAAACCACTAAGTATTAGAAGGAACTTCGGATAAGTTTGATTCAAAGCATACAACAACATAATGTATACCTTTCTTTTTGAACCAAGCCTTACGTTTTGGGCAATCCTTCCGATAATGTCCTTTTTTCTTGCAAAAATGGCATTTATCTAACTTTTTTCCTTTCCTTCCATCATCAGTAGCTCGTAAAACTTTCTTTTTGAAATTCTTAGACTTTGGTTTGAATATCTTTCAACTCCTTGACCCACTAGGTTAATAGAATGAACTCCTTGTTTCTTTAATCTCGCTTCTTCTTGAATAAGCTTACTGGACGAGTTCATCAATATTTCACTTATCCTTTGATGTGTTATAATTGATGTGAAACGATCCATATTCGGTAAGAAGTGAGTTCGTGATAAACCGCACTAAGAAGGAGTCTTCCACGGTAATGCCCAGTGTCTTAAGTCTTGCTACAATGTTAGTTATATCAAGGACATATTGTGTATACTCTTTGACCTATCAAACTTCATGGTTGTGAGTTCAGCCATAATTGTCCCCGTAAGTGCCTTATCGGCAGAATAGAACTTTTCTTCCACAAGCTTAAGAAAATCTTTAGAATTCTGATTTTCGGTGCTAGGAAGAGTAGACTTAATGTTGTAGGCAATCGACATTCACATAAAATTTAAACATAATCTGTTAGACCTTACCCACGCCTTATGGTGTGCTTTTTCGACCTCTGTACTAGTAGCATTAAGGTCAACAAGCTTATCCTTTAACAATGCCAAGTCAAGATCTAAAGCACCTAAATGGAAAGTGACTTGTTCACTCCATTCGGAGAAATTCACACCGGTAAACAAGGTAACGAGAAGATGCTTGAGAATGAAGGCTAATAGCTGCAAAGCATATAAACGCTCACTAATTAATAGATTCGACGGAAAGCACATACATTAAATATATTTGCGGATTTCCTTTGGGTAAACATAACAATACATATCATCACTATCATTAAAATGCCATTTAAACTTTATAAGAAATTAAATAAACATTTTTCAAATACATATAACATCTTTGGATAACTATATATATGTAACCAAAGTATATCAATTTCTTCCTTTGTATTTATTAGTTATAGAACATTGATTTACCTTTGGGTAAAGTCCTTAATTTCTATCAACTAGTAAATTCTAATTTTAATAGCATTTTATAAAATACATAAATTATATTACTACACATTCAAAATTAATTTGGCCACTTTGGTGACTAACAAATCAATTTAATTATATTGTCATATATATATATAAAAGAAAAAATGCATGTATAATTCATACACACACACACACACACACATATATATTATCAAATCAAATCAATAATCTAAGGATTATTATCTATTCAACACCCGGGCTCGATACCATATGTAAGACTTCATGCTTAAAGATCAAAACATAAATCATACCATGCAATGATCAAAACATAAATCATTCATGCCCTTCAAGATTTTGAATATAATAATAATCACATAGATGAAGCGAATAAATTACTTACCTTGAGTGGAATTCAACATGATGTAGAGAGAGCTTTCAATAATCACGAACCTTATAAATTAGTTTCTCTCCCTTAATCCTCTTTTTTGTACAAGTGGCTTGATGGATAGCTAAAATACGTGCATTACGTATTTTGTGTTTTTGTCTACATACCTCTTTAGGGTAGGGAGCGGACTAGTTTATATACATGTTAATATTAAATCTTGTACGTCCATCAAGTACTAAATTAACGATCCAAATTTAATATACTATTAAATTAAGAAAACCCTAAACTACACTTAATAAGGACTTACAAAAATATGGACCATAACATCGAGTCATATTTCTTACATTTCAGTCAGAAAAATATAGTAAAAAAATTTTACTAAAATGCAGGCTCACCATCTAAGGCTGTGCTAATAGCCCTAATTTTTCTTTGAGACAACAAATATGCATAGAGTTCCACTTACACACATAAATTATAATGGTGGAAGATTAATATTGGTCTATAAAATAACAAAGTTTCTGACAGTTGCAGAAGAATTGTTTCTCAAACCTTTATAGTTGCATCAACCATTGTTTAGGCTTTTGTTCTTGAACTTTCAACAATTTCCATCACATGATATCCAGGTTCTCGAGTATCATCTGCAGAAGAATCAAAGGAGCTGCTATGGCAAGCTGGCTCGTCTATATTGGCTATAGGCTTCAACAACACGTGCGGTGTTCCCTTGGTATGTGTTACGTTACCTAAAGCAAAAGAAAGCAGAAGAAACCAGCTGCATGAAGAAGAAGTGATGAAGTTAAGCAATTGGTGTTACTGCATGATAAAGGAAAGGAATCGAATCTGAAATTCGTGGATGCATAGCTCAAACCTACTCATTGACTTCATTTAAATGTAGGAGTACTGCAACATAGTGCTTCTTAAGAGTTTCTGAATCCTTGCGAGAGTTTTCTCCATGTTTTTGGCTTTCCAACACCTCATCATTCATGTGGTTCTACTCATATACCACAGCCTTCTGGTCCTACACATTCAAATATATATTAGCTTCTTTTTTCAAACACCCGAGTCATCAGAATGATTCAAAAGATTTTCTGTACAAATGACAAAAGCAATTACAATTTGAAGCATAAATAATAAAATTTCTCCATTAATCATTAAGCGATGCAAAGCTAATTTAAATATGCAGTTGAGAGCACATATATTTAAGAGATCATCACAGGTGATGCATCAATCCTTGCTTGAGAATAGCTGTGAAATACATCGAAGTGACAGCATCCAAAGTTTAGGTGTAATTAGCAATAAAAAATACAACCTTTATGTCAAGGGCTCAAGTTAATTCAAAAAGAGCATGGATATTGGATTCCTTGGCTTGGATCTGTACATAAAAACAAGGCTTGGCATTTGTTGCTTGCTGGGTATTAACAGTTTCACCTCCTATGTTGACTTGTGATGACTTGCCCTAGTAAAGGCAAGTTCTTCTTGGATAAATGAATAGTGATATAATGCTTACACGAAATGCTTAGCAACATCAATGCAGCCATAAGGCTGTGGAGTTTTTCACGAGTTGATATTACAAAATGTCAATAAAGACAGGTCCAATTAAAAATTCAGTAGAGACTATTTAGTTCATCCATTACCAAAAGAAGATTAAGTGCTGTTCTTTAGTCTCATTTAAGCGTTCAAGACAGGAATAAATTGTACTTTGAGAAATAAGGTCATTAATCTAGTTGAAAAATAAAAGCACCTTACAAAGTGGAAAGTTAGATTGTAAATGTGCTTTGGCATCTGAGGAGATACTGTTAGAGCATCCATCTGAGAGGCTCAGTTAAACATTTAAACCCCAAAGCATAAGATACAAAGTGAACACAACAATTGATGATAACGACCCAACATCAATTACTTTTAGGCATGTACTCATGAATTTGACAGAGAAAAATAAGAGGTGGCTTATCTCAGTAGTGAACTGCGCCCTTCATAATTATAGAGCCAATGAAAAAGCACATTACAGTTTAAATGCAAAAAGATCCTCTCCATTTTTTCAGCAGAAAAAAAAACTTCAATTGCTTAGCACATCTAACATTTCAGAAGACTTCAAATTGACCAAATGAGATAAGCATATGGTTACATTTAAATTCCAAGGACTGCTCAGCTTTGGCTGTCGTATTAAATCACTACAATGATAAAGTCTATGGGGAAGTATGTGGAAAAGCAGTGATATGCCCCTGGTTCTCACATGGGGAAGATTTGAATCCTTCCTTCTTATTCTCTACTGGCTGCTCGTTGATTTTGAGCTCATTTAAGTTCTTAAATTTTCTATTCAAAACAATATTGTGCCCCATTATAGACGCATGCATATTTTCCAATGGATTCAAAGGCATGCAATCAACATCCAACAGTTGAAAAGGTATCTGATGTGGGCGCATCCACCCTCTCACTTAGCTGAAAGTTTGGCATATTCGAGTGATCGAAACTTTTAGCCATTTACCATTTATTTTTATGGCTTTTATTTGTTTTAATTATCTTTTAGTTATTTGGATTGTATTTTAATTAGTTGGGTTAATTTTATTTGTAAAGACTTGGGCTGAAAATAATTAGTCCATGTGATTAGATGGGTTTCCTTGTTGGATAAGGATAAGATCGAATGTGTCTAGGTGGATGGATAATCTTTTATTTTATAGATCATTATTTGTCAAGGATTCTTTTATTTATTTTAAATCCATGTAATGTGAATCTAGATTTAATTAGGTTGGATTAATGAAGTCCTAATTAAAGATATGACATGTCATTTCTTACATACTGAAGAAGTTATCATATTACATTTCGATGAATATCTCGTTTAAAAATCTATGACCATAGTAGAAATATACCAATAGAACATGATTTGTTTACTTAAGAATTAAGACATTCGGAGATTAAAGAAAACTTATGTGATTATAATCAAATAGACACCAAACTAACTTTGAAATCTTATTGTGATAAATTGACATGACAACTGAATTGTATGGAAACCATATTCATGAAAGTTTGTTATGGATTAAGTAATCCTTCTTGATAATTGGATAGTCATGATGCCTTATTAGAGGCCAATCTTGATTTATGTATCGAGAGATAAAAGAATTATCTTTTACTTCTTGATACATTACCAACATATGTAGAAGTCTATTGAGTCCATTCATAAGCTTGACATTGACTCGGATAAAGAGAAGCGAAGAATTATAAAGAAAATAAGGATTGAAATAATTGATTTTAATTCTTTAAGAGCCGAGGTAATTTAGGAAATAGTTTCCTTGATGGCGTGTCGTACCGCCAACAAATTAGATAATTTATATCATCCTTATAGAGCTTTCAATCACAATAGTGTAATTAGAGCAAATAAGGGTCGAACCCACATGAAAAAGGCTTAATTGACGAGTTTCTTTCGGTTGATTATTCTTGTGGTGTAAAAGTATTAAAAAAGACAGTTTATGTTTGAAGTGTTTAGAAGCAATTTAAAGTAAATTGAAATAACAATAATGAAGGAACCTTGGTTGAACTTCGGTATCCACTTTTAGTTTGATCACCGATCTTCGATTAAATAATTAGCTTATCCTAAACATGAATATTCACCATAGGATAATAACATATATGCTCGTCCATAGTCTTTCCTTACTCGATTGTTAATCGAATATATGATATTCGATTAATTTTCTAGTTACTCGAACAACTTACTAAGTGCTAGATAGATTTAATTCAATAACATCATTAATCAAAGAAATACGAGTGAAGTTAAGCTACCTTCTTAAATGCTAGAGAATATGTAACCTAGTTCTATGTTTCCTAAGAGAATGAACAAAAATATAAAAAATTATCATCAACCCCTAGTTGCTACCATAAGCAAATTTAGACAAGCAATTACACGAACTTGAATACTTAGATAGTAATAAGTTAATATGATAAAACAATTAGCATGCATTCTAATCAATTTAATCACATAACCATGAACCAATCATGCAGAAAAACATAGAATACTCAAATAAGATAAGTCTAGAAATAAGACCTATAATCTCACGAGTGATTTAACCAAAAGCTTTAACTTGATTCAACTAAGAATAGTGTTTAGTTGTTCATAATGGGTTACAAAGAGAGATTTTTCTATTTATGGTGGTTACCGAGGGTTAGAATCCTAAAATCATACCCTAACATCACTATTTATAGCTAAAACTAGGGTTACATAACTTAGGTGTTAGTCCCACATGGCCACATAAGTTACTAAACAAAATTACACAATTTGTTGCTTAATGTTACATGGTTTGAAGTCTTAAAGAATTAGTATTACACGGCTTGCTAACTAGAGCCACATAGCCGTGTGCCTTTACTCTTCATTTCATGTTACTTCCTTACTACCCATGTAGATTTTGGCCTTCAAGCTATGTTAAATCTTTCTACCTTGTGTAGACTTCTTCTACTTGTGAGACACGAGTGTTTGACTCTTTACCGCAAATAGTATGGAATGCCTACTACCCATGTTGCATCTTCTTTTCCCTTGGATTGTGCTTGGATTTGATACACACACAACCGTGTTGGATTTCTTCATCTAGTTATGTGGACTGCTACTACTCGTGTGGACGTTTTTTGCTAAGCAATCCACAAGATTACTTCCTTGATGTCACATGGCCAATAGTTGTTTCCTTTGTAATTTGACATGATCGTGTGACTCTTCTCAGCCTTATTGATGACTTCTCTTTTCCTTGCTTCGGTTTTGAGTTTTTTTGCTTCTATTCATCGTTTCTCATTCAAAACCCAAAATCGTCATCTTTCTCTTAATTAACCTAACATAATACAATAAACACTAGAAAGTCCAATATAATAAAGCATAAAAATCATGCTAATTAGGCACTATCAATACCCCCACACTTAAACTTTGCTAGTCTTAGAGCAAAACAAACAAACAAAAACATAACTCACTTTTGTAGAAATCACGATTTCATTTAACATATGCAATAAGCCTTTAAACCCTTGGATTACTCCTAGTGGACGAGTTATGTCTTGTGAGGGTTTTCGGATGATAAACCTATAAAATTGCTCAACTGAATGTCATGCTAATATGATTATTCTTCTAACATTGATGCTCAATTTTAGAATTCAATAAAATCCAATAGTTAAATTGATCATGTTTAAAAAATTATTATCATCTCAATGTATGTCTTTAAATTGATTTACACATTTTCATACCCAAACATGATTTAAGCATGTAACACCAACTTTACCTTTACCCATTTTTTACCATTACAAGCAAAACAATAAATCAAAATTTTCTTTAATCATACTTTTTCTTTTTAAGCATCCCAATTATATTTTTGTTTAAGGCCTTTAATAGCTTTTTCATAAGTGATTACTTATCTTTTTATGCAACTATTGATATTTTTTATGAAGATAACCGAGTTACTTAGCAAGTCATCAACCTAGAGTGCTTTGCATACTCATAATTTGAATTATCGTTTGATGTAAAAGTAAAAATTTGTAATGAATACTCCTAGTCACTAAGCAACTCAAATCATTGAAGTAGAATTTTTTACTTAATTAGACTAAATTTTTCTAGTGAAATACTTTTCAAATTGCTTTTTCAAATTTCATAAAAGTTGGAAAATCCAATTTATTTAAATCATGCCTAAGTCTAGTTTCCAAAAGGTACTTATAAAGTTAACATTACTACCTAAATCATGCTTAACCTTAAAAGCGAGATAAAGTTTTCTAGCATTCATGCATATCTACAACAATAATATCCTAAATATTTTCAATCATCTCATCAAATTTCATCAAGCACATCATCAAACATTAATCAAGAATCATCATCATACTAAATCATGGCATTCATTTCACCCCTTTTCTTATAAAGAGAATAAAACAAACACACAAATTACATAATAAACATAAAAACGATAAAAAGAAAGAAGCCTAAATGCTAAACACACCCCCACACTTGAATCGAACATTATCCTTAATGTCCAA